CCGTTTTGTGGCTTATATTTAGGATCCTATTAGGTAATCCCAAAAAGGAACTACGATGGGGCCATATGGGGCCTATGGGTAGAAGGCCGAGCTTAGGGTGCGGAACTGAGGTTTACCGACAATGTGCGTGCCCTGGGCTGGAGCAGTGGCTACGAGGCCAGAGTTGGGGTGTTTCTGGATTTCGTCCAGGGTTGCCAGAATATATATGTATATATATATATATATATGTGGATGTTTATAGATAAATAAATAAATATATATATATATATATATAATACATGTGTGTGTGTGTCGGGAGGTTTCATAAACTGGACTGCTACCTGCAGTCTTCCAGGCTTAGAAGCACGAGCGGAATACACCCAAGCTGGAAGAGCACTTCAGTTTGAAGCCACCACGATGAACTTGCACAGTGTTTCCGTTTTGTGGAATCTGACTTCACACCCGGCACAAAGACTTGAACCTAAACCCTAAACCCCTAAACCCAAAACCCGGGAGTTCGACACCCAAATATTGCAGGACATGCTCTTTCCGGCCATGAACGTGCATGACAAGGATGCCATTTCGGTGGAAGCCCCTTGCTCAAGAAACCCTAAGCCCTGAACCTCAAGAGACGTGCGAGCGCCAAAGCCTGCCTTGTTTTTTGGGGTAGGATTTACGTTTTTCGTTAAGTAGGGCTCAGGGTTTAGGAAAGTAATATAGGGACCTTAAAGAATTTTAAATAGGGTTTGGGGTATTCATATACTTATTATACCGAGGAACCCCCAAAAACGTTATGCTGATTATTAAGGCCCCTACATTAAGCCCCGCAGTCCTGAACCCAAAGTTTTGGGCTTCGGGTCAGAAGCCTTGAACCCCATACAGCCCTAAACTCCCAAACTGAAATTCCGCCTACCCCCTCAACAAAAAAAACGAAGCTCGGAGCTTAATGAATTGGGTCCTTAAACCTTAGACTTTGGGATGTGTGTGTTGTTTGTTTGTTTGTTTGTTTGGTTGTTTGTTTGATTGTTTGTTTCTTGGTGGTCGGGGCTGCCGGCTTACTTTCAATGGCCAGTTTCCTTCCAGTTGGCGCCTCTCGCGAGTCGCGAGAGTTCACTAGCTTTAGATTTGCTGGTGGTCAACCCTAAACCCTAAACCCTAAACTCTAAACCTTAAACCCTAAACCCTTAACCCTAGTTGGGCGCGCGCCTTCGGCTTGCAGGCCGGTCCAGGCCGGATAGCGCAGCCAGAACTTCCAGTTTGGTGAGCCCCGCAAGCCCCAGAACCCGTTCCTAAACCCTGAGACCCTCCAAAGCTTTACCCATAGGCCCCATAGTAGTTCCTGTTTGGGATTACCTGATAGAATTCTAAATATAAGCCACAAAAAGGAACTACTATGGGGCCTATGGGTAGACCCCACGAAAGGCCAACACCCACATAGAAGGGCTTTTGATTCCAAATACTCTGACCTGAATGGTTTTTGGTACCTGGAACCCTGCTAGTGGGGCATTCGGACCCTACGAGTACGAAACATGAAATCCTAAACCCAAGCCTCAAACCCTGAACTAGCCCCGGTAGCCCCCGACTTAAAGCCTTAAACCATTCAAAGCTCAAGATGATGTCAGTCTTAGATTGGCAGAAACAGGGAGACCCAAAAAAGCCTCAGCCCTATATAAGCCCCAAGCCCTCCTGAAGAGGAACCCTAAAGCACAAAATCTCAATCCTAAGCCCCAAGTCTATTGGTGGTGCTGTTTGATGATGGTCTTATGTAAGCTCGCCTTGGCTTCACTCTTCAGCAAAACTCGAACCACATGCCTCGCCTGGATTGTCCGAGTGTGAGAGTGCCGAAACCTCAAGCCCTCAACCCTAAACAATAAACCCCGAAACCCTAAGCCCTAAACTCTAGACCCTAAAAGCTAAACCCCTAAACCCAAACCCAACGTCCCTAAACCCTTAACCCCAAGCCCTAAACCCTAAACCCTAAACCCAAACCCAACGTCCCTAAACCCTGAACCCCAAGCCCTAAGCCCTTGAAAGCTCTCGCGGAACCGAGGATCTGAAATGGCTGGAGATGGAGCAGCGGCGGCAGAAGCGAAAAGAGCTCGCCAAGAAGAAAGCCTTGCAGGAGGGTTGGGGGTTTAGGGGTTTAGGGTTGGGGGTCTAGGGTTTAGGGTTTAGGGGGTTTAGGGCGTAGGCTGTAGATTTAGATTTGTTTTGAAGAGGGGGGTTCGAGTAACCTACTACAGGGGTGTCGTGACAAAACGGTTGACACATAATCTGTTGGTTTACAGGATATTATAGGCCTTTGAAACTTTTGGCAGATGTGGAGTTCAAGAGTGATGAGGTTCAGGTGCGGGTTTAGAGTTTAGGGTCTAGAGGGGCTTTATTGCTTGTGGCTTGGTCGTCAGACTTGCAACCAGGTTTGCAAGACGTTTGGTGATCTCGCTTTCGTTTTGAATTGGAGTAAGTGGAAGGCAGGATTTTGGAACAATTTGCGTGTGGATCCGTTGACTTCGGTCCTTGGCTGAAGGCTTATAGGCTTCGTGGACAAACAGTTTCAGGTACGCTCGGTTCAGCGTTTGGAGCTTGACAACTGCTTTGGGATCCCAACCTTAGGGGGTCGATCTAAGTTCAGATCCCTTCTCAAATACATATCGGCGGTACTGGCATAGACGGCTCGGGCCCTAAATCCTAAACCCTAAACCCGAAGCCCTAAGCCCTAAGCCCTAAACCCTAAACCCTAAACCCCAAACTCAAACAACACCCTAAAAGCCAACTTGCAGCCCAGAGCCTTGAACCACACATCATGAAGTCCCCCTAAACCCTAGACCCAGTCTCAAAGAACAGTATCGGGGCCCTTATCATTGCCAATACTAATTTTGTTTTTTGGGGGGTTCCTTCTTATAAGTATAGTATAATGGTAGTATAATGGGCCCAAACCCCTATCCTAACTATTAAGGCCCCGAAACCGTAAACCCTTCTAGTACCCCTTCTAGAACCCTTTTAAAGGAACCCAAAAAAGCCTATTCCAAGTAGAAAGGCCCAGAATCCGCAAATGGACCACGCTGCCAGGAGAACCACACCAGGAACAAGGACGCCAACTTCAAGGGGCGAGAGGCCCTGGGAGACAGGAAACTGTGTTTAGGGGTTTAGTGTTTAGGGTTTTGGGCTTTAGGGGTTTAGGGGTTTAGTGTTTACGGCTTTAGGGGTTTAGGGTTTCGGGGTTCAGGGTTTAGGGCTTTAGGGGTTTAGGGGTTTAGGATTTAGGGATTGTGTCGTCTTTGAATCAAGGAGTTTGTTGTGGAGTTCAGGGTTATAGGTTTTTAGGGGTTTTGGCTTAGGGTTTAGGGATCCTGCCGGCATACAATCCAAGCCCGTGCTCAAAGTTTAGGGTTGATAGCTGTCAAACCCTAGACCCGAAAACCCTTGTCTGAGCCCTTGCCTGGACATGTCCGGGTGTAAGTATGAAAAACCCTTAAACCCTGAGCACTGACCCCACGCTGTAACAGTTGAATAACAAGTATAGTATGAATATATGTAGTCCTTATATAACCCCTAATATAGACTGGCACAGGGTGGAAGAAGTACACAACCCAAGCCCGTCATATAGGCTGAATGCTTTGAGGGGTTTTGGGGGGGTAGAGCCACGGATTCACAGCCTCCCAAATCACTGCATTTTGGAGTTCGGTCGATCCCCTGGACCCGTGCAAATTTAAACAGACGGAGCATGGACTGGGCAACCTGAAATCTTCAAGCCTGCGCCTCTAAACCCTAAATCCTACGTCTCTATGAGTCTTACAACACCAAAACCCAAGGCCC